ATACAAGAGTTTTTGACAAAAAAAAAAAAGAAAAAACTTAAATATGGAGACAATTAAAAGGAATTATTTTAATTAAAAAAAGTATTTCAAAGATGTATATTGTAAAAAAAAAAAATGTAATGGTCAAAAAATGTTAGGAGAAAAAAGTCAATAAGCAAAAGAACAGAAGAAAAAATAAAAAAAAAGATTAAAATAATAAAAGAGGAAAAGTTAAAAAAATTAAATTTTGACAAAAAAAAGTGTGGACATATTTAATAGAAATTATTTTAATAAAAAGGAAGTAAAAAAGAGAAAATATTTCAAAAAAGAGATATTGTAAAAGAAAAGAAAACTTTCAAAGAACATTAAGGAAAAAGTAAAAAAGACAATAAACAAAAGAAAACAAGAAAAAAATTAAAAATTAAAAAAAAGAAAAGAAAAAGAGGAAAAATTAAAAAAAAAAGGAAAAAAAGAAGAAGAAAGAGGAGGCCAACACGTGGCCTCCTTAGTAGCCAAGTCTATTTGGCTGCTTTTATATATGTTAAATGTTGAATTAGATGTATATATAGTCGTTAAAAAGATTAAACTATAAAAGAGTAATTGAAAAAAATATAAAATAAGAGCAAAGCAACATAAAATAAAAAATAAAAGAATATAGCAGTTATAAAAAATAAAAATAAAAAAGTAAATAAAATATCAGGGGCTACCACGTGAGAGTTTAAAAAGTGCTATGTAGGAGCACTATAAAAAAATGTGTAAAAAAACTTTTGATATAACATGAATTATGCAAAAACTAAGTAGGGACACATTTAAAAAATTTATTTTAGTCATTGATAAACAAAAAAAAGTAAAAACACATGTAAAAAAAATTACTTTCATAGGTGTAAAATGAGAAAAAAAATATTTTTAAAACACTTACATAGACAATTAAACTGTGAAAAAAAATTCACAAAACAAAAAAATAAAAAAAAATACAAAACGTTTAAAAAATACAAAAATATAAAGATACAAAGTAAAGATAGAAAAAAGGAAAAAAAGAGAGAAGGAGAGTCGCTATGTGTCAACTTTAGGGAAGAGTCCTTTGATTTTTTTATGTATTGTTAGATTTGTGTGGATGACGGCTAAGATTTCCTATTTTTGGAAACACCATCACTGGCCAACATATTAGGATTTGTGCTTTTAAAACATGTCGTGTAATTCCTTTGGAGATAAATAAAATGTTACATTCTTACCGGTGTTCTTAAAAGTACGGAGAATACAAAAAAAAAAATCCTTAATAAATAATATTTTTTGTTGATTGAAACATGCTTTCAGATATTTTTTATTTGTTTTCGAAACATTTTTAAATGTGCCTCATTAATTTTTAATATGCTCTATTAAAGTAACTTTTGTAAAATGTGTCAAGAAGCAAAATTTCATTCTGCAATCCGCTAAAAAATATATATATATATACTAATTTTTAAATGTGGCCTCAAAAATACTTATTGTAATTATTTAAACTTGCTTTTCTTGCAGCGTTCAAATACTATTTTTTGATAAGTACCTCGAAGTAATTTTTTCTCTAATTTGTCTCCATTAAATCTTTTGTTTTTATCCTATATAGAAGAAGGTTTCATTTTTTTACTGTTCATTCTTTTCCGTTGTTTTGAGCTTTTCTTTTTCCTGTAGTCATTCCTTTCTTTTTAGCTTCTTACCTTCTGAAATCTCATATTTTAAATGTGTTTCATTTAAATCTTGTTTGTTTCAAATTTGTCCATATTAAAATAATTTTCTCAACAATGTCCACCTTTAAATATTTCCTTTTCTATCCATTCTTAAAAAAGTTAGGAGTCATTTGGTTAGAGGGTTCAAAGGGTTTGAACCCAGATTCAGGTTTAAACCCGTATTTATTTTGTAAAAAGTAAAAAAGGATTTGAACTTTTAATATGACATTTTAAAACCTAGGATTCTAAAAAAATAAAAGGATTTTTGAACCTAAATCCTCAGATTCTCAAGGTTTGAACTAGATTCCAACCCCACAAAACCTCACACCAAGTTCAAACTCAAAAAGTTCAATTTAAACCCTTATCAAACAAACCTTTAGTTTGTCAAATGTGGCTTTTATAGATGTTTTCTTTTCTAACTCCTTCGCTGAAATAATTTTCTCAAACATGACCTTACTTACTTTCTTCTAATTATATGTAACGCCAATAATTTTATATTTGATTTGTCTGCACCAACATCCTTTGTTTCCCTCTTAAATATGATCTACTTATCATTTGTTCAATCTTACTTTTTTCAGTTTTGCATGGTAAATTAATTTTTCTCGAATATTCCTAATTGAAGTAGCGTTTTTCAAATGTGTTCTCTACTTAAATATATATATATATTTACATTTCTCAAAAACTCTTTCCAAAATACATTATGTTCTTCAAAGTAAATTGTTATTATTGTTAGGATTTTTGAGAGAATTAAATCAGACTATAATTTTTGTTAAAGAAAAGAAGCTTTTACAAAGGAGAAGTCTGTTGCATTACCAGCGGTAGGTTACTGGAATATCCAATAAAAAACTCGTCTCGAACATAACGTCAAATCTCGTCAGAGCGCTTAATTCAAAAGTTGGTGGCACATATGAAAATGTTGACTAGATTTTGATTAACATTAATGGAACATTTTAGTTCATATATTCAGAATCATGATTCAAAACTATTCTCATTTTATGTGTATTTTTTGTGAGACAAAATACTGTAGCGAGCCACGAACTATGATTCGAATCATGGCATAAATCCCTCTTCCAAACGTCCCCTAAGATTCACCTTACATAGCTACATACTTTTTGTCCAAAAATCAACAAATTAAGTAGAAACACCTACAATGTAAAAAAAAAAAAGAAATAGGGGGCATAATAACACGAGAATCGAGGTGAGCTTGTCACGAAATTGAGAAACTATCAGGATGTTTGGTTCATGGATTCAGAATCATTCTCAGTTTACGTGTATTTTTTGTAAGAAAAAATATTATAACGACCCACGAACTATGGTCTGAATAATGGCACGGATCTTTGTTCCAAACGCAGCTTATGAGATCTCATACCGTCTATCGCGTCGGGGTTAAGGGTCGAGGGGAGCACGATTTTGTGGTGAGTTCCATGGCACCAAGCTACTTTTGACATCGGAATGCTCACCACCTCATTCATTCAGAATTGAATCCCTTCCATCAGTCTGATCTACTTATCGAGATGGATCCATATGCAACTTCCTTTGCATAAACGTGGTGCATAAGTGGTAGGCTCTTAGCCCACATAATTATGAGTTTGGTCGGCCTTTCAATTACCGAATGTCATATCCTTAGGCTTCAGCATAGTTCCTTCTAATCTTGGGGAAAAAGAGTTCGAATATGTTCTCCTCACCCTTCTCTACCTCTTGGCAACCTTTAACTTCTTCTACGCTAAGATGATCACCAATCTACGAAAGATACCAACATCATGTGCTTACAAATGAGATCTCCCCGGTGATTCATAAATTCTCTATACAACCTAATATTTTGGAATACCTGGCATTGAGTGAGCTCTTTTGAGATGACAAGGATCAATCCAATAATTATTCGTGTGCCATTTTCTCTAATTTGCTCTCGTAATTTTTTTTTTGTTCTAAAGGAAAGGGAATTAACTTCACCCACACTTTGTGACCCTCTAAATATTGGCCCGTTTGTTTTTGTTTTCAACTCTAGTTGAAAAATGAATTTAGATAAGAGAGAACACTATAGTAAAAACTTGAATTGTAATTCGAACCAACGAAACGAAATATTTCCCATCGGGTTTAAATGCATTGTACTTGTGAAAGAATAAGAATGGGCTCAGCAGCATTGATTTTAGGGCTCTTTTTTCTTAATTTTGTCTTTGAAAAGATTTTATGTTGGGCATTTTGATTGAGGTTGCTAATAGTTTTTGGAATGTTTTATTTTCATCAACTAAGCTTTAATATTTCTCCAAGAAAATAAAATTAATCACACATTCAGAGTCACACATCCAAGCTTAACACAAGTCATTTCCATCTAAAAGATGACCAATGGAAGGTGCATTTTTGTTACAATTTCAATCTTCAAGGGGAATGGATTAGACAAATTGAAGTTTGAATAGCACATCGTTACAAGGCTTAAAGTACAGGAAGATCAATTGTTAAAGTTTATTCCTCATTAAAATCTGATATTTAAAAGTACTATTGATAGAACATTTTGTTTTTTTAATTCCAAACAAATGAATTAGTCCCAAAAAAAAGCAGCTAATACTACATTAATAATTTCATAAATGCCCCCCTTTGTGTCTTGTTTCAACATGATGCCCCTCATTTTAAAAAGAGTTCATTTCAAACACCCCCTGAATTAATGTTTTTATATAAATACCCCATAAACCATTGATTTTATATCAACTTGATCCTTGATCTTTTAAAAAGTTAGGGACAAGTTGACACAAAAGTAATAATTCAGGAGTAAATTGACTTAAAATCAATAATTTGAGGGGCATTTATAAAAACATAAGTAGTATCATGTCATTAGTTTGCTAGTCTTATAAATGTAGGGGATATTTTGAACTAGGGTACATATTTCAAGAGATGAAAATGAACCTTTTTTTTTAAGTTTAGAAGATATATGTTGAAATAAAGTACAAAGTTAGGGACATTATGAAATTAAACGTAATATTTTTTTAACATTCTTGCAGTGAAATGCTCACATCATATATAGGATCTTTTCTCCCCTTAAATATATATATATATATATATATATATATATATATATATATGCGCGCGCGCGTAGGATCTTTTCAAAATAGCAAATCATAATATATAGGGCTTAATTTTTATCCTAGTTAAGAACAAATATATATATAATTAAATAGGAATTATGGAAACATCAATTTCATACGCATAACAACAACCTAGCTGAAGCTCTACGAAGAAATATAGGAAGAAAAGCTAACTTTCTTCGAAATTTTGGATACATAAAAATAATCCGCGAGTGCAGAAACTAAAATCATAATTTATATGCTATAATAAAAACATATATATAAAACGGTAGCTATATGCAAATAATATCAATTAAAGAAACACAGCGAGAGCGTGCTTGACGAGATACTCTGAGATGATATGACTTGTTTTCTCTGTGGGATGGAAGGAATCCCAGAAGACGTACTTGTTTGCATCTGTGCAGGTGAACATGTTGTTTCGGTTGCATGCATAACCCATCTCGAACATTCCTGTCGCACAACATGCCACTGAGGCGACTTCAAATCCTGCCAATACATAAACGACAACATTTTAGCCCTACGATATATATATATATATATATGTCTAGCTACAACAAAAACATAGTTAGAGTTCATCTTTGATCAATATTTATATAAGATTTATATATATATATATAAAATAAGTTTTCTGTAAACAATATGATAAGAATTATAATCATCAACGATAAAAATGTTGATGATAATTAGCAACATTTTCTCCGTCAATATTAGTTTAAGAAGTACGAAAAAAAACCATATCGTAGACTATAGTTCTAAAATGTAGAAATACCTCATAATCACAATTTAAATCTTTTTATTACAATATTTTCTCTTTAAAAAATTTAATGTTATGTTCAAAACTTTCTGTTCGAACCTACAAACTAAACATGTTGATGACTGATTTGATGATTCAAAATTATGTCTTATATAATTATTAGAAGACATTTCTTTTATAGTATAAAATTTTGAACTTTTAAATTTATATTAGGGTATGAAAAGTTACCTTGTTAATAAGACTCGGATGCTTTGGAGTCAAATTAGATTAAAAAAAAGAAATTTAAAAAAATTTGATTCTGATAATTCTGAATTATGGCTATCTTATCATAAATTCTTCTTAAACATATGTAGTAAAAGAATTTGTGAATTTTCGGAGCAATTATCATAAGATGACCAATAGCAAGCATGTCATGAACAGTCTTGTGTCAGACAAAATTATGTGTTTAATTGGCTAAGGGTACAACAATTAAAGTATATTTATTCATCAACAAAAACAATCTTGTTTGATTAGAATGAGAGAGGTAGATACATAAAGTGCGTCGGTTACAGTGAGAGAGTGGTAATAGTAATGAGAATGGGAATGATAATGGTAATGAAATAGAAAAGAAAGTTGATTTATTTATTTAGTTGTAATTTTAAGAATACTATGAAATGGAACATGAATATTTTCATGTTGACAAAATTACCCTCATGATATATATAACTAATATTTTATATATCAATATAATTAATATAATGTATACAATGTAATATAATATAATATAATAATTATTATATAATATATAATATAATTATGATATAGAATATAATAATATTTCAGTT